AGGCTTAGCAAAATGCTGCATTGTGGAGCTGGACAGTGGGTGTAATCTCCTCTGGCTGCCTTTTTTATTGAAATGTTATAAGCTTACAAATTCAGCATCTCTTATTTTCTGTTTTGAGTTGTCCAGATGAGCAGAAGTGGGAATATGGGAGAGAAATGGAGTTGCAAAGACAGTATAGCCTTTGGGGTTTGGGGTTCAAATCTGAAAGTTTAATATGCCTGATACTGTGAACTGTTTGTAGACAACATGTGTGTGTTTTTTAGTGATGAACAAACCATGTTCTGATCATGAAAGCTTTTTTGGCTCAGTGATTCCCTTGCAATGACTGGCTGGTACGTGGTGGGGTAGCGGGGTTCTGTGGTCTCCCTGCCTGGTCAGATTGTTGACTGTTATTTGTCTTTGTTTAGGATTGTTTAATAAAACAGGTGATTGAGTATCTTGCTTGTTTCTAACTCAGGCACTGGGATTGGCTAGCTGTGTGTGCTAACATTGCTGTCTGTTTCAGCTGGGAAGGGCTACCCCTGCAGCACATGTAACATAGTGCTGAACTCCATAGAGCAGTACCAAGCTCACATCAGTGGCTTCAAACACAAGAATCAGTAAGTAATGTTCTTGTCTAAGTGTGTTTCCAGCCTCGCTGTTCAAATCGATGGCCTAAATATAACCTAAAATGCAGTTTTGAGCACGTGTTTCCAGCTGACTTCCAAACAGAACAGCAGGGTCTGTGCAGGCTCTCTCTGGGTGTCCTGACGCTGCTCCAGGAGCTCCCTCTGCAGACAGCCCAGTCGTGCTGCCGAGGTGGAAGTGCCTCCGGTTGCTTTTTGTTTCTAACAGTTCAGCTCAGCACAGACCTTTGCAGTGAACCTGACACCTATTAAACACAGTTTCTCTTAACAACTGAGATTTTAATTTAATTAAGGACTGGCCCAGTGGAGATCTGCTTGCAATTCTAATCTCCGTTGGGATTGCTTGTTTTAAAATTTGGCACATAGTCAGCACGCTGCAGAAACCTGGACTGTATTCCTGAACTCACTCTTACAGCTGGCAAGTTAAATAATGGCATCCCCTGCATATATTATTAATTGAAAAAAATTATGCTGCCAGATGATTAATACCAAAAATACTTGTTCTGGAGACTGCCAATCTTTAATTTAAGAGCCTTCACTAAAAGAGGCACAGTAATGAGCCTGGGTTGGTTAGAAAGCTTCTTAGAAGGGAGAGGTATTAGGAAATCCTACCTGAAGGGAGGGCAGGCTCCTAGCCAACTTCCAAACTGGAATCTCTTGTTGCCTGTCTATGGAATAACAGCCTCTTGGTCCCTCAGCTCTGGGGAGTACTTGATGGGAAGACATCTTTCATCCCAGGGAAGTTGCAGCTCTTGAACAGCACAAGTAGATCAGTGACTAGGAAGTATCCATTCTAGAGAGGTAACATTGAGGGTGTTCCCAGCACACACACATTAATGTTCTCTTTAAGGACACTGCTGCTGTCGGAGCTGTTGCAGCCACACAGCTCCCTTTCAGAATGCTGCTCTGGATTCAGCTGTGCAGTCCTGTTCCAGCTTCTGCAGCCTGTAGAGAGGCAGGATGCTTGCTTTGTAATGGGAGCTCTTTAGCAGTCCTTGAGCTCTGCCGCAGCTAATTCTGCCATGCTAAAGGTGTCTGTTTACACACAGGCACAGAGAGCAAGGATTCACTTGGAAGATTTTCTGGCAAGTTGTTGCCTTGGCTGCAGTGGGCTGTTGCTCTGCTGACAGCCTTGCCTGCTGAGCAGTGATTGCAGCTGGCACATTTCAGAGCATTTGTGACATTGTCTCCTTTTTTTCTTTCCTTGCTCCCTTCAATGTGCAGGATGCCAGGAGCAGTGCCGGTTGTGGGACCGTTCCCGCCACAACAGTATGTCCGGGAAGAGTCAACTGGCCCAGGAGGCTACAGTTACTTCAGCCAAGACCTCTAGAGCAAGTTGCAGCACTATTCTTGGAGTTGTTGGTGGCCCCAGAACGCACATCCTTTGCCAGCCCACAATGGTTTCATTATCCCTCTGGATAAGCAAAGCCCTACCCTCCTGTATACACCCGTTGAGCAGAACGGGGACTGAATCTGTCAGGAAAAGGATCCAGCTGGAAGAGACTTGCTAGACAGCAAATACTTCACTCCCTTAGAGTAGTTTTCATTGTGTAATTGCTTCCTGTGAAGGTGGGTGCGGTGTGAGAGGAAGTGTCTATCTGGTGTAAGGAGGGTTTGGCAGCAAGCTGGTAGTGCCACCTTCTCCCTGTCCCCTGTGGGGGGCTGCCCATCCTGCTGCTGGTCTGCTCTCAGAGGGACACCAGCACCCATGGGCACCCCCAGGCATGACAGGAGGGGACTGGAGCCCACCTGTGGGACCAGAGCCACCCACATGGCCGGGAGGCTGAGGATGGAGCATGGCCCTTCTCCCAAGGTGTGCCCTGGAGTTGGTGCTGTTGGCCCAGCTCTGCTCCTCCCTGCCCTGGGCCAGGGCTCTGGCTGCCTCGCCAGTCTGAACTCCATTGCCTTCTGGGCTGGCAGGCACAGGACAGAGCACAGAACCACCCACCAGCCACATCCTCCACAGCAGCACCACAGTCCCCTGCCCAGGCCACAGCCAGCTCTGTGGAGCCAGTTGCTCCTCCAAAAGCACTCCCAGGGTCCCTGCCTCAGCCAGGAGAAGCTCAGTCCTGGCCACAGCCCCAGCCACTGCCATCCCTCGTGGCCCCGCAGGCTCCATTGAGTAAATCAAGTGCAGATGTGGCATCAGGACCGGGTGCCTGCTTACAATTAGGAGATGGGAAGATTGGGGTGGCCCCGTTCTTGTCTTGCAGTTCCTTGCCATGGCTGCTGCTTTACTGGGCTGAACCCCCAGTGTTGTGCAGGGGACAGGGCTGGTGAGCAAAGCTCCTGCTCTCTTGGCCCATAGATCAGCACTGTGGTGCCCAACCCAGCACATGGTGTGTGCTATGTCCCCATGGGGAGCAGGACACTTTCTGGCCCCATGCACCTCATTCCCTGTGCCAGCTGCAGCCGCAGCACTCCCCCACACAGCCAGGGCAGGAAGAGGTGGCAGGGCTGCAGCAGGATAAGGCATGACACTGCCCACCCTCCTGCTGTATCACCCTCAACTTGTATTTTCCCTGCTGGGCCTTCACTGCCCAGATCTATGGATGCTCCTATGCCATGCTGGAGGCTAGACAAAGCCTGGGCTCCTGGTGTCCCTGTCCTGCAGCCCCTGCATTGGGCCCCACATTCTTGGCTCCCCAGAGGGAGCAGCAGGTTTATGTTTGCCAAGTTCTGCCTGGTTAAACCTTAACCGAGCTGGGTTGCTCCATCAGTCCCTCCCAGCCGGAGATAAGGATGGGCAGGCAAGACCAGGGCCTGGTGGGACGTACTGCCCCAAACCTGGCTGCTTGCCTCCAGGGCAGGACCCAGCCCCTGCAGAGCACCCTGCCCAGTCTGGGGGCAGCTGCCTGCCCCTCCAGCTTCCCCCCTGCCTTCCTCAACGAGTCCCCACTGATACGAGGGCAGCAGGTTGTGGCTGGGGCTGGAAGCTACCATGTTGAAGCCAGTGGGACTGGATGGAGCTGGAAGCCCTTGTGCTGGGGCTCACCCATTGCTCCAGGGCTGACCCACTCCCTCAGTGCCAGAAGGTTCACATCACCCCAGCACATGGAATGAGCCTGCTCAGCCTCAGATCCTATGCACATACACAGTACAGTGAGCTGGGGCTTCTGTGCCCCAAACAAGAGCCGTTCAGGGGAGGCCAAGAGAAACTTCCAGGAGGAAAGAGCCCCCCAGGCTCCGGCCCCCACAGGAGCCACCGTGCTGCGCGGGCTCTGGCTGGCCGCAGGTGCCACCACAGCGGGAGTGGCGGCAAGTGCTGGGGCCAGGCACAAGGGGCGGCTGTGTTCCCGCAGCTCCGGCTGCCTTCCAAGAGCAATATTGTTGGCACCAGGCAGGCTCCCTGCACCGGCAGCACATACATGGGCCTTTCATGAGGAGAGTGGGGATGATTTACTGCCTGGGGGAAGGGGCAGGGGCGGGAGAATGGAGCCCCAGCATGCCGGCGCCCGGCCCCTTGTGCGTGCTCACTGCCGCGGGGCCCCGCACACGTGAGCAAGGCCAAGGGTCTGGCCAGGGGGTCGTCGCTCCCAGTGGGACATGGGGCAAGAGGGATCCCTCTGCACCATCTGTGGAGTTCTGAGAACACGCTGAAATCTCTGGGCACCCCGCTGTGTCTGAGCTAAGTAACCACTGCTCACACATCGCTTGTGCCACAGTGATGGGGGCAGCCCATGAGCTGGGGGAGACGGGGGCACCAGAGGAGGGTGCTGGGGCAGGGAGCACTCACAGCACCGAGTGCTGTGCTGGCACAATCACCCCTTGTTGAGCTGCTGCTGTGGCAGAGGCCGCTGTGGTGCTGCCGGCAGCGGGTGGCAGGCGGCGGGGTTGGGCTGCTGTGAAGGGCTTTTTGTTTGCCATCAGTTGCTGTTATAAATCAAGCCAGGCAGCCCAGCCCCAGCAGCCCAGCCCCAGCCCAGCACTGCCCCACAGCAGGGAGGTGACCAGTTCCCAGCCGCCTACAGCAGAGCCCCACCAAGCCCTGGCCTGTGCTGGCATTGTCCTGGCGCAATGGGGATGTTTAGTGTGATGCTGGGCAACGTGCCCACACTGGTCTGCTTGCCCTTCTTCCACTTAGCACTGGGGAACCCTGGGATACAGGGAATCTTTCCATGTTCATCCCAGGCTGCGGCTCCCACAGGCTCCCTGGAGTTCCAGCTCTCCCTGGTGTTCCCAGTACTGGGAACGTCCCTTTCTTTCTGGTTTTAATTTGGTTTTGGTTCGAATTGAGCTGAACCCAACATTTTTCTGTGCTTCCGGCACGCTGTGAACTCTGCAGGGGCGGCCGCTGCTCCGTGAAATTGATGTTCTCGTCCGCTTCACGCGTCAGCAGGAATGAACAGCTGCTGGGGGCTGCTGGCCCCCGGGACTGCTCTGTGCACCTCTGCACCCCAAGGGGATACCAGTACTCCAGACGGGGAGCAGCACAGGGTGGATGGTGCTATGGGAGACTGTAGCACCTACCAGACCTCAGTGAAACCATGTCATGCTGGATGGTTTGGCACAGTGGAGCAGCATGGACAAGGCTGTGCTCAGGACTCACGGTGTGGCCCTATGAAATGAGGGGTGACAGTGACAGTGTACCCCACTCATAGGGCCTGAAGATCCATACCAGGCATGGGCAAGACTGTGTGTGGGGCTCAGCACAGCCCTGAAAGAGCTTGCTGGAAAGCAGCTGGCAAAGCAGATGGGGATACAGGAAAGGAGAGAAGCTCTAGGGCCAGATCCTGGCCATGTACTGAGGGACACTGACCCCTCTTGATGGCAGCAGGATGCGCAGGGGACATTGTTCCTTGGGATCACACCAACTCAGAGTGTCTGAGGACAGGCTTCCCCCAGTGCCCAGGGGTCTTGCATGGGCCAACGAGCAGCAAGGCCCGGGCATGGTGGGGTCTGCCTGCCCCAGTGCAGGCAACAGCATAGGGAAGGTGAGGGCGGAGTGTTTATGGGCTGGATTAGGCCACTCCAACGCTGGCTCGCACCTTAGCCACGTTTTATGGCACTCCGTTATGGGCTCCTAATGAGGGTCACAGCCACTTTATGGCACTGACAGCGATAAGCTACGAACTAATTATGGCACAATTAGCGTGTGGGCTGCTGGGCACCCAGCAACGCTCAGCGCCCAGCCTGGGCCACGACCTGCTTGGGGCTGGAGTGCTCCCACTCCCAGCTATCGGAGGGAAACGGGGGTGGCCTTGCCCCCTGTCCTATCTGCTGCTCCCCACGCGTGGGGTCTGCCTGGAGGACAGCACAGGAGAGCAGCCCCGGGTGTTTTGCAGCCCCCTGCGCTCCTCACCCGCGAGGGGAGGCTGCACCGGCGGAGCCGGGATGGAGGGGCCGGGGGCCGCCTCTCGCTGCTGGGGGGGAAAGGCCGGTGCTCCCCCCCCCACTTCCCCCGTGCAGCTCGGCGGCAGGTCGGTTTGCAGAGATGCCGGAGAAGCGGGGCCGGTCCCCGTTCCCCCCTCCCGCCTCCCCAGCGCTCCGGGCGGGGCCGCTGTAACCCGAGCGCGTCCCTACAAAGTGCCCGCGCCCCCGAGGCGGCGGCAGAGCGGGGCCGGAGCCAGCCCGGAGCGAGCCCCAGCCCTGCCCGCAGCCGGAGCCGTCCCGAGCCCGCAGCCGGAGCCGTCCCCGGCCCTGCCGCCATGGGGCCACGGTGTGGGGCTCGGCGGCGCTGAGCCCGCTGTCCCCGGACTTTGCCCCGGCCCGCAGCGCAGGCGGCTCCGCCGCAGGAGCCCGTCACCGCCGGTAACAGCGCCGACCGCGACCCTCGCCCCCCGCACCATTCGGGCCCCCCGTCCCGGGACACTCTCCCCCTCCCTGGGATCCCCCGCGGTCCCCCGCCCCTGGTTAACCTCCCCTAGCGCCCTGACCGGGCTGCCGCTGGCTAGAGAGGTCGGATTCCCGGCACCCAAACGGGGTGTTTCCCATTCCGTGCCTCCTCCCATTCCTGCCCAGGGACCCCCGTGCTCTGCCTCCCGTCCATGCCCACCCACCCTCGCGGTGACTTGGGGACCTCTCACTGCTTCTCCCCGGTGCCTCGGGAGAGGAGGGGACTGCCCGCCCGGATCGCTCACCCGACCCTGCCTGTCCCGCAGGGTGCGACCCCCGCCTGGGGGGGCCTGGAAGATGCGGCCCCTCTTGCAGGTCGTGGCGGGGCTGCTGCTGGCGGCGGCTGCCCGGGGCAGGGCGATGGAGCCAGGTACGGCTGCGGGGCGAAGCGGACCGGGGGGCGGCGGGAGTTGGTTCGTGCTTGCTGAATACTTTCTCCATCCCAGCTGGGCTGGGATGCGGGTGCTTGCCCTGGACACGCAGCCCCACCGCTCTGCTGCAGGGCAGGGCTGGCCGGAGCTGGGGACACGGCACAGGGATTTCCACAGCGTTCCCATCGCTGAAGGGGTCAGGGTGGCTCCAGCCAGGCTGTCCCTGTGCTGCGGGGCTTGGCTAGCTCGCTGGACACGCGTGGCAGAGAGGGGTTGCGAGACCGCTGTGGGCTGTGGTTGTTGTGTGTGACTCCTGGCGAAATGCGGGCACTCTGTGTCTCGCAGTGGTGGGTGCGGGAGAAGGACGTGTCCCCGGGGACCAGACCAGCTGCCCCACATCCCTCCTGTGCTGGCCGTGCACTGGGCTGGAGACACACTCGTGTGCTCCAGGCTCCTGCACGTGGGCAGTGGGGCTGCCGTGGTATTGCTGTGCTGGCAGCCAGGTTGTTTCTGCCCTCCATGTGCACGTGCTGCTGCTGGCCATCAGCAAGCTGGGCTCCACTGCCAGCCCGGGCACTGCCAGAGACAGCCAGGCTGTAGGTGTCCCAGCTGTGCTTGGGGAGTGTAGAGGTCTGATGATGGGTGTCTGGAGGGGTTTGATGCCCTCTCTCAGTAAGGCAGAACAAGCTGGAGCACCCTGCGCCACTGGGAGTGGTGGAAGGATAGTGGCATGTGTGGCCTTGGACGGGGACATGCCATTGGGAAACAATGTCCCCGTGCTGCAGGGCAGAGTCCAGCCCTTACCCGCTTCTGAGGCGGCAGAGCCAGGCTCTGGGCTGTCACACCACATGCTCTCCACACTAGGATGGGCATATGGAGGGGACCTGCTGTCAGGGAGGGGTGAGCACTGGGGTGGGTGCTCACCACATCTCTCCAGAGCTATTTGAGAGACCCTTGCTGGAGTCAGAAGACGAACATCTCCTACTGGACCCAGGCAACACATTGAAGCTGTACTGTGACGCCAACCAGAGTGGTGCCAGTGTGGTCTGGTACAAGGAGTCTCGGCCACTCATCTCGGGGGGTCGCATCCATCTCCGTCAGAGCCTGCTGGAGATCTCAGAGGTCTCCTACGAGGACTCGGGGCTCTACGTGTGCCGGGCACGGGGAACTGGAGAGGTCCTGCGCAACTTCACCATCTCTGTCGTCGGTAGGAGCTCCGGCAGCACCCAGCTACCCCCAGGGCAGCAATGCAGCCACTGCCCGCCCAGCCCTGCAGGCAGGGATGTCCCTCTCAACCCATTTCCCTTTGCAGACTCCCTGGCGTCAGGTGATGATGATGAAGATAGTGATGGGGACAGTCCCCACAGAGACCGAAATGAGGAGTCAGTCTATGTGCACAGAGGTCAGTGCCACACCGGGGCACTACAGGAGAGGGCAGAACCAGGGGCATGGGGCATTGCTGCCTCCTGCTCCCTGCACAGGCCCCCTCCCACTGAACATCCTGCATGTCCCCAGCTCCTTACTGGACTCACCCACACCGGATGGACAAGAAGCTGTATGCAGTCCCTGCGGGGAACACGGTGAAGTTCCGCTGCCCGGCCTCAGGCAGCCCCAGCCCCAGCATCCGCTGGTTCAAGAACGGGCGCGAGTTCCGAGGGGAGCACCGCATCGGGGGCATCCGGGTACGGGCCAGCTCCTCCCAGCACAGCTTCCCTCCCAGCATCCATCTTCCCCAGCTCACTCACTGCCTTACCTCCCTCTCTGCAGCTCCGGCACCAGCACTGGAGCCTGGTGATGGAGAGTGTGGTGCCCTCTGACCGCGGCAACTACACTTGCCTGGTGGAAAACAGGTTTGGCAGCATCCGCTACAGCTACCTCCTGGACGTGCTGGGTGAGGGTTCCTCAGCATGGTGCTGATCTGGGCTTCCCCAGGCCTGCTGGGGTCAGGGAAGGGGGTGCAGGAGCCTCTGTTTGTGGCCTATCCACTGATGCAGCTCACATGTCCCTCACAACCCAGGGACATGGGATGGAGACCAGACTTGGGTTGCACTGGTCTGTTTTAGTGCTGGGGAAGGGCTCTCTGTGGCTCCATGGTGGGTGAAGGAGGGAGAAAGGAGCCTGTGCTCTGGGCCACCATGTCAGTGACACTGCTCTGCTCCCTGTGCGCAGAGAGGTCCCCGCACAGGCCCATCTTGCAGGCTGGGCTGCCCGCCAACACCACAGCCCTGGTGGGCAGCGATGTGGAGTTCTTCTGCAAGGTCTACAGTGATGCCCAGCCCCACATCCAGTGGCTGAAGCACATTGAAGTGAATGGCAGCAACTACGGCCCCGACGGGGTTCCCTATGTGCAAGTGCTCAAGGTAACAAGGGCTGGCAGCACTCAGGTCCCAGACAGCCACGCTAAAGTGGTGACAGGGGTGCACAGAGCTCCCTGAAGAAGAGTGACACTGACCATCCATCCCTCTCTGATAGACTGCAGATATCAACAGCTCTGAGGTGGAGGTGCTGTACCTGCGCAATGTGTCCATGGAGGATGCTGGCGAGTACACCTGCCTGGCAGGGAACTCTATCGGCCTCTCCTACCAGTCTGCCTGGCTCACCGTCCTGCCAGGTAGGGGTGGGGTCCTGCTGTGGGTCTGGGATCCCCAGCACGCAGAGGCTATGCCTCAGGCCAGCTCATTCACTCCCTGCAGAAGAGGAGCTGGTGCGGGAAGCTGAGGCCCCAGAGACCAAGTACACAGACATCATCATCTACACCTCGGGCTCACTGGCCGTGGCCATGGCCATTATTATCGTGGTGCTGTGCCGGATGCAGACTCAGTCGAGCAAGCAGCACCTGGAGCCTATGGCAGTCCACAAACTCTCCAAATTCCCACTCATCCGACAGGTGGGTACCAGACTTGAGTCCTAGTAATGCGGGTGGACCTTGGTGACCAGTGGGCTTCAGGAGTGCCACTTGTGCCCATCACACCTTACCCTGCTGCCAGCCTTTGGGCTGCCCTTCCCACTTCCCCCTGCAGCCCCCTCACCCCATTGCTCCAAGTGAGATCTCTGCTTTTGTGTTGCATCTTTGTTGGGCTCAGGAGCATGGGATGCATGGCTGAGGAGCTGTGTCTCTCTCCACAGTTCTCCCTGGATTCCAGCTCCTCCGGGAAGTCCAGCACATCCCTGATGCGGGTCACCCGTCTCTCCTCCAGCTGTGCCCCAATGCTGGCTGGTGTCATGGAGCTGGACCTGCCCCTTGACGCCAAGTGGGAGTTCCCCCGGGACAAGTACGGTTCCATGCAGGGCAGGGACAGGGGCTGCTCTCCCCAGCTGCCCCAGGGACAGCAGCATGCAGGTGGTGGATGGGGAGGCCTCTGGCCACCATAAGGCCATCCCTGTGATCTCTCATGGTTCTGCTTGTCCCTGCCAGGCTGGTGCTGGGGAAGCCCCTGGGGGAAGGCTGCTTTGGCCAGGTGGTGCGGGCAGAGGCTTACGGCATAGACAGAGACCGGCCAGACAGAGCTGTCACCGTGGCTGTCAAAATGCTGAAAGGTAACGGCTCCTGTGCCAGTGTGCCAGGAACAGAGGTGGCATCAGCACTGGGCAGGGGTGCCACCCAGCTGGCATGGTGACACAGCCTTCCTTCCCTAGACAATGCCACCGACAAGGACCTGGCTGACCTCATATCCGAGATGGAGATGATGAAGCTCATGGACAAACACAAGAACATAATCAACCTCCTGGGAGTCTGCACACAGGATGGTGAGGGGGCTGTGCAGGCAGGGTTTGGGCAGAGCATGGGCATGGAGCAGGACCAGGGATGCAGACCACTGGGGTCAGTGGCTAACTGGGAAGGGACAAGGCAGGGCAGGGGCTGAGCACATGGCCACCCTTCCCAGGACCACTGTACGTGATTGTGGAGTTTGCTGCAAAGGGCAACCTGCGCGAGTACCTCCGTGCCCGCCGCCCCCCGACACCTGACTACGCTTTTGATGTCATGGCAATGCCTGAGGAGCAGCTCTCTTTCAAGGATCTGGTCTCCTGCGTCTACCAAGTGGCCCGTGGCATGGAGTACCTGGAGTCCAAACGGGTATGGCTGCATGGACTACATGTGCTGGGTGCAGCTGGGGAGGGCATGGTGGTGACAGAGGAGCTGTGAATCCCTGGTGAACTCACTGTCCCTGTGGAAAGGGATCCCAGCCAATTCCCATAGGCTGTTCAGAACCTGCTAGCCCCATCCAGCAAAGCTCAAGGCAGTACCTCCCCAAAAATATGGGACTCAAAGCCTGACCCACCTCCTGGGGAAGTGTATGTGGCCCCCTCACTGTGCCTGTCACTGCAACCAGCCCAGTGACGGGATGGCCCCACCACTGCAGAGGTGCTGGGGGTGTGTGGGAGGGAAACAGTGATTTCAGTGTTTGAAGGGGACATGTGGAGCTGGAGTCACCATCTCAGACCCCTGTGGGTGATGCTCCCCCTGGCAGTGCATCCACCGGGACCTGGCTGCCCGCAACGTGCTGGTGACAGCCGAGAGCGTGATGAAAATCGCTGACTTCGGCCTGGCCAGGGACGTTCACGACATCGACTACTACAAGAAAACCAGCAACGTGAGTGGGGCTCCTGGGACAGGGGCACGGGGACCCCAGTCAGGGCTGAGCTGAGCAAGGGGTTGCTCTCCTAGGGTCGCCTGCCAGTGAAGTGGATGGCCCCTGAAGCCCTGTTTGACCGTGTCTACACCCACCAGAGCGATGTGTGAGTCCTGAGGGGAACGAGGCTCTGTGGGTGTGGGTTGAGGATGCTGTTGGTGTGGGACAAGGCAGCACTGTGGGGTTATGCCTGTCCATGCCCCCACAGCAGAATGGGGGACAGCAGGGCACATTCCCCAGGGGTGATCCGCCCTCTCCCATCCCTGCTCCCACAGCACTGCAGGGTGCAGTGGGCCAGGCTGGGGGAGAGCCCTAGGATGTATTTGACCTCCCTTTGCTATGTGTGATCCTAGGTGGTCCTTTGGGATCCTGATGTGGGAGATCTTCACGCTGGGGGGCTCCCCATACCCTGGCATCCCTGTGGAGGAGCTGTTCAAGCTGCTGAAGGAGGGGCACCGCATGGACCGGCCATCCAACTGCACCCACGAGCTGTGAGTACCAGCCAGGTGGGTGGGCAGGGGGCACGGTGAGACCCTGCTAACCCTCCCTCGTTCCCAGGTACATGCTGATGAGGGAGTGCTGGCATGCTGTGCCCTCACAGCGCCCCACCTTCAAGCAGCTCGTGGAGGGGCTGGACAAGATCCTGGCAGCTGTTTCAGAGGAGGTGAGAGGAGGGGAGTCTGGTGGGTGAGGGGTGGACAGTGTGGGCATGGACAGTACTAGTGGTCATGGCACCATCCCTCCTTGCAGTACCTGGACCTCTCCATGCCCTTCGAGCAGTACTCGCCCTCCTGCGAGGACACTGCCAGCTCCTGCTCCTCTGATGACTCCGTCTTCACCCACGACCCACTGCCGCTGGCTCCTCACCTCTTCTCCTACCCCAGCGTGAGGACTTAAGGGAGGGCAGGGAAGGGTGATGCTGAAGCCACCTCTGCCCTTGCAGGGAGGGGGTCCAAGTTCCCAAAGGTCCCTGCTTTGTCTGGGCTGAGCAGTGGGTGGGCAGGGCCCTGAGCCACAGCACCAGGGCAGGGTGTCCCTCTCCCTGGGTTCCTTTTGGGCACTGAGCCATCAGCCCTGGCTGAGATCTGCCTGGTATTGTGGGGCAGCAGGAGCTAGAGCCTCTCCATGTGGGCACTGCCTGGGATGCCCATGGCATTGCCCAGGGAGATGGGCTATGGCCAGCGCTTCAGTGGAAGTGTCTCTGGGCAGGAGCCCCACCACTGCCAGGCTCCTGCTGCATCTGTACATAGCCACAGAGATGAATATTTATGTACATGAAATTTCAACCTGATAAATTATTTTTTTGGAATACACCCCGGTGCAGTTTCTGGGCTGCTCCTGGAGCACAAATAGCTCACCTAAGCTTGGAGGGCAGGTCAGGGTTTGCCTCCTCGCTGCCTCCTTGCCCCAGCCAGTTCAGGGCCTGCAATCACTCCTGGGGGACACAGAGACAGTGCCACAGGTGCAGGAAGTGATGTCCCCACTCCTGTGCCTCCAGGCCTGCTCCAGCACAAAGCACCCTTGCATCTGTTCCCCATTAGCCACTGCTGCACTAAGCCACCGTGAACTCCGCTACCAGCACTGCCCTGAAACTGATCCCCCAACTGCCATGGGCTCCCAGGCTGGGAAAGTGCTCTGGGGCCCAGCCCCACGCACCGGGGACCCCCCGCACCCTCCTGCCCCGGCCGGCCCAGCACTCCAGATAAAAGTGAGTTATGGGCTCTGTCTCCCCAAAGCCCGTGGGAGCACAAGTTGGGGGTCTCCAGCCCCTGCTCTCTGATGCCTGCTTTGCCCCCCCTTGCCCTGTGTGCCCAGCAATGACGGCAGCATGGGCAAGGAGGGCTGCAGCTGTCTCAGCCCCTCCTGCCAGCCTGCTCCCTGGGTCTAGGGTTTCATCTAGGGCCAGGCTTTGCCGGCCGTTAGTCCCAGGATCTGGTTTCCTCCTTCAGCTCCCAGCTGCACTCACAGCCCCCCGCCTGGAAGCTGCCTCTTCCAGCATGGAAGCTGGCGCTTCTGGCACAGCCTGCCCAAAACAGCCCAAGGTGATGGGGGCTGGCAGGTGCTGTGGGGCAGGACCTGGGCCCAGGGCAGCTGGAAAGGGAGTACGTAGGTTCTGACTGTGGCTGTGGTGGTGCCAGGGTCTGGGATCACAAGAGACAGAACTTGGGACTTGACGCAGCCATGGGTGCTGTGAATTGTATCTGTTGGGAGCCCAACAGCTTTCAGAGCCATCCTGGTGTCCCCTCCTTTTCACAGCCCCTCACAGGGCTGCTCTGGGGATCCCACTGCACTGGCATGCCTGCAGCCTCCATCTCCAGCCCAGCTCCCCTCTCTGCTGGGAGGAGCCCCCCATTCCAGCAGGGCGGGTGAGGGCAGACAGCTCACTGGCAGGTGTGAAACCTGCCTGTGCCGGCAGCCTGCCTGCCTGGGAAGGATCCCAGCTGTCCTGTAATGTGCCAGAACCAATGCATTTCACACAGCCCTGAATGGGGCATTCACACGCTGAAGGGCAAATTGCCCAAGCTGCCCACAGGGGCTGCCCAGAACCCGGCCGGGACTGAGACTGAGCATGGAGAGGGGCTGTGCCCAGCTTGCCCCCACCTCACTTCAGACTGGGGTCTCTGTGCTGAGGGCAGCACAGAGGGCAGACAGTTCTTGCTCATCCTGCACTGCCCTTTCCCTAGAAAACAGGACCACAGACAATTTCACAGGGTGAGGCATAGCTGGGTTTGCTAATTCTTAATACCAAAGGGAAGGAGTGGGGCAGAAGGGGACATGGTGAGCAGGGACCTGCCATCCCCTGCCAAAGCCTCACTCCCTCCCTGCACATTTAAAGGCTTGCTGCAGGTGCAGGCAGTGTCTGCTACCCACAGCCCAACAACCCACACCAGTGCAGCCCAGGGATGCTTCCAGGCTCCTGGCTGTGCTCAGCACTGTGCCCACCTGCCTGCCCCCACTTGGTGGAACGGCCCTCAGCCCATCCCCAGGCACCACTGTATCCCCCAGTGAACCCCAAAAGCTGCAGCAGTGGGTGCATGGGCTGTGCCCGAGCCAGCTCTGCCAGGCACAGGGCAGCCGAGGCCATGGCTGGGCAGGGAAGCAGCCCGGGGCGTCCTGCAGCCCCACGACAACTGGAGGCAGTTTTTATTGTTTAACATTCCTGGTATTTTCTGTCAGGGCTGAACCAATTGTCCTTAATCCGCCAGGCTCTGCTGGCCAAACAAGTGTGGCTGAGCCACCAGCATCCTGTCCACACGAACAGGCCCCTTTTGTGAGGGGGATTTAGTGTGTAGCCCAGTAAATCCTGCTGGTTTCCTGAGGCAGCGTTCCCACACCCCCCACCATTGCAACCCCCCCTTGCCGCCTGCTCCTGGGCCCTGGCATCCATCCCTGCCTGGCCATGCCCGCGGGCACCCTGTCTGCCCGAGCTCTGGGGCCATGTACCTGCTGCCCCCCAGAATCTGCCCACTCCAGGGCTGCAGATTCCCCTTGCATGTTTCTGGGATATGTCTGCGAGTCCTTATGGGATGTGGGGTGTTGGTGGGGCTGAGAAGCTTCACAGCCACCCCACTACGCTGGTGCTGTGGTTCTGGAGGGATGCTGTGCTCCTGGAGCAGATGCTGTGATCCCCGGGGAAATGCTGGGCCCTAGGGAAGCTGGTTCTGGTCTGGGGTGGGGGAAGGGGGTGTGTGGGGAAGATGCTGAGTCCTGGAGGAGCTGCTGTAGTCCTTGGGGAAATGCTGAGTGCTGATGGGTCTGGTTCTGGTCCTGGGAGGAATGCTGAGCCCTGGGGGAGGCAACACCCCAGGGGCCAGGACACCAGCTGGTTCCTCATTCCAGCTCCGGGATGTGGCTCCGAGCCCCTGCCCGGAGATGCCTTCGCTTAACGACTCTGTTGTTTGGCCGGGAGCTGATGTTGTCTTTTCTCCACAAAACAAAGGCGACAGGATTTTATCTCTGGGGAGAATCTGGTTTCTGTGAGATGCAGAAAGCCTCTGCCCCCGGGCAGGAGAGGATGAGGCTGGCGGGGCGGAAAGGCACCGGGCTGCTGACTGCCCCGCTGGCAGGAGGAGCTGGCACTGCCCCTCTGGCTGCTCCTGCCTGCCATCGCCCATGTGCCATGTTCCACGACCTGCCTGTCACTGTCCCATGCCTGTGCCCATGTGCCCAGGCAGCGAAGGGAGGGAAGAGCCCCCATGGGCTAGCAGGCAGAGAAAAGGGGCCCATGAGCACCCACACATCGGAGTGGAACCCAAACACAGGATCCCGCCACAGCTCCTGTGTCCACAGACACCTCACACACTGATGTGGGCACACGCAGACACGTAGGCTTGTGCCCAACCCCCATATCCATACAAAAACACCTGCACACGCACGTCCATGTGTGCACACACACCACCTTGCACACTCACCTCAGGCACACCCTCCAGGAACATCCCTCCATGCATGCATCCACTTCCAGCCAAGCACACACACTACATCCCCCACAAAACTCCCATGCACCCTCACACACCCGCACGTACCCGTTTCCACGCACACACGTGTGCAGCACATCCCTATCCACACACACAAACATGTACAGCATCATCCGTATCCACACACACACGCACACAGACACACACACACACATGCACACACACAGACACACACACCCCTCTGCACCTCCCTTCACGCACCCCCTCTCCCCGCAGTGGCAGAGCCGAGGCTCCAGCGCCACTGCGGACCCCCAGCCCCACCGCGGACCCCCCGCCCCAGCCGGACAGGCCAGGCTGGGGGTGCCAGCGAGGGCGGTGGTCCCACGCTGCGGACCCCCCGCCCGTAGCCCCCCGCCCGCCGGCCGGAGCCGCCGGTGCTGCGGGAAGCCGCGGACTCTCAGCCCCATCTCCCGGCCGGCGGGAGCAGCTGCGCGGGGCGGGCGGAACGGAGCGGCTGAGCAGCTCCACTGTCGCACACCCCCCGCGTTTGGCTGGTGACAGTGGCCTTCGCGGCAGGACAGGCACGGCACTGTGTTGGAAGGATGACAAACGCAACTGGGACAAACGGTCTGCGGCATGGGGATGTATCCTGGCTCTGCTCACCATCACCCGCACCGGGGATGGGGCTGGGAGTAGGGCAGGGCAGGGGATTGGGCTGCAGAGCTGTGTCCCGATGTGCATCATCCCGTTTGTATCCTTCCAGGTGACAGGAGCAGTGTGGGGAGGGCACCCCATGGGCACTCGAGCCTGGTGAAGCTGGCTCTACCTTGGATGGATGGATGGATGGATGGATGGATGGATGGATGGATGGATGGATGGATGGATCAAAGCCCAGCGTGAGCTCAGTCTCCTTGCTCAGGGCTGAGAGCCCTGCACACCCCCTAAGCTGAGGATGGGAGGCAACCTGAGGGCTGGGGAAGCAGGGCGGTCCCGAGAGCGAGAGCGGCTGCAGCACCCAGACGGGCACCCTGGGCCTCGGCCCCAAGGGATTATCCCCATGCTGCATGTGGCTGCTGCAGAGACCGGCCTCCAGGTGACAGTGCAGCGACAACTCTTCCGCGCCGGGCGGATTTGCTCGGCAGCGATGGCTTCTGTCCCCTGCAGCTCGTGGCAGCGGTGCTGCCCGCACCCACCGCCCTTGTGTGTCCGTGGGCTGCCCCCGCAAGGTTTCGGGGGGCCATGGAAGCACCCGGGCGGGGGGACTGCGAGGTGAGGGACCGGGAAAGCAGAGGTCAGGCCGGCAGGAGGAGCAGCCCCGGCGCCAGGGACACCGGGCGGTGCAGCCGCGCCTGCGGGCACGGAGCCGGGCTGAGCCGCACCCATCGCCGCTGCTCCCGCTGCTCCATCCCTGCGGTTTCAGCCACGCAAGCCGCTTCCTGGGGGAAAGGGGGCCCCCGGCAAACCCTCCGGGCAGGATGCTCTCCGCTCCTCTCCTCCTCTGCTTCCTTCCTCTCTCTTGGCCGGGCCAGCCCTCCCCCTGCCCGCCGCGACTCCTTAACCCTTTCGCCCACGCTCCGGGCCGTGATCCAGCCCCACGGCCACGGCTTCCAGCCACCGCCCCCGGCCCTTTGTGCAGGATCCCGGTGCTGCCCCGGGGGTCCGCGCTCTCCCCAGGCCCCGCCCCGGCGAACATCCGCGGCCGGAGGCGACTCGCAGCCAGCCCATCCTGCCCCGGCTCCCGCGGGACCCGCGTGGGCCGCAGCTCCCTCCTCGCTGGGGTGGGGGCTCCCCGGCGGTGGCCGTGACTGCCTCATCTCCCTCGGGGGGAGCGCGCCGGAGCCCCCGGTGCGGGGCCGCGCTCCCTTCGGCATCACCGCGGCGGCGGGGAGCGCATTCCC